TGGTGGTGGTACGTCGGTACGTATGTACGTATATATATATATATATATATATATATATATATATATACACACACACACACACACATATTTTTGATTGGATCCCAACCTGTAGCCATAGAGTGATGCTATTTTCACCACCAGAATCACGATGAGAAAGTAAGCAACACCAAAGTGAACAAACTTTCTCCTTCACCTGAAGAAGTCCAAAAGAAAACACTCCAGGCTCGGAATGACAGGATCATGGATGCCATACTCAATCAAAAAAACAGAACTCATCTGGTCTGGAATTATGAACATTCATCCTCACTCCAACCAAGTGGTCAAGGAGTATTCCGCTCACCTCTGGAACAATGGAGAGGACGTGGAACCTGTGCTCAACCAAGGACCCAGGATGGGACCGCTTTGCATTCTGAGCTATGAGGAGATAGTGGACCTCCTTCCATGAACAATATACAAAACCGACACTGATCAAAGAGAAGGGCCAAGCACCCCCAACTGCATAGCTTTGTGTCAAATCTGAACCGGAATTATGAGTTCTAACATCTGGGAAAAACAACCAAAGACCCAAGTTGGAGGGCCCCCAACTTCACTCTCTTCCTCAAGAGTGGAGGAACACTGGAAGAAAAGCCTTTATCTGCCACCCAAGCAACTGTAAACTGGGGGGTGGTAAGGACTCCCGAGCTCCTCTAGTAGAGTCTGGGGTGTAACACAGTGCTCTGGAAACTGCACAATAGGTGAACCAAGTTCTCTACATTTTTAAAAGCAAACTGATCCCAATTTATTCAACCTGAAGATTGGCAGGATCCCCTTTAGCTTTACTCATGATAGTCCATAAGTGGTGGCCAATAATAATAAGGTAATAAATACCATCCGGTAGGTACCTAGATGGTCTTATGGAACACCCCATTTCAACAGAGCCTGTTGCAAACTGTAGTTATTATAGTGAAAGTGGTTGCTAGTGCAGAATTGAAAAGAAAAAGCATACCTGCCTGACCAACACTCACCACAGAGTGGGATCCAGTGAAAAATAAAGGGAACCTGGAAATAAAAGAGTATATAATTGAAGAAAATACATCTGGTTAAAGGCTAACAGATGTAGTCAAAAACCCTCAGAAGAGGAAACTGTCAGATTATGTAAGTAATGAGATGGGAAAATATTAGGAGTAGTCCACATACCAGCCCACACAATGTCTTCCAGAGGGCAATTCAACTGGGTGGCTAATGACAGAAAGAAAAATGACAAATCCATGAGATGTAAATGCAAAAGATTCCTCTCCTGGAAAGATAATTAATTATAGGTCATGTGAATGAATTTGCGAAGCCACCTCATTAGGATAATAGGAGAGAAGGATCCTAAAGAATGAACAATCAATTCCTAGTATTTCGAAATGAGTTAGTAAGAGCCAACTAACAATTGAGGGCCCTGACGGGACATAACAAACGATAAGGATTGGAGTGGTCATTAAGGTGAGAAATGGCTGGCAAATAGACTGGTGAGAAGGATCTTTTCCCTTACCTGGTTGCCAGAGTCTTGAGAAGAAAAGACCTTTCGGGATAAAGCAGGACAAATGTGAATTGATAAAGAGTCCGATGCACATGCAATGCAAAACCTCCGACCGACAATGTCCACAAGCCAACAACAACAAAAATTACAATTTAAGAGAAAGGTGAGACAAACAATATGAAGCTAAAGGCTAAAAGGGAGGATGAGACAACGCACGTAAAATTGTAAAATCCCATTTCAGTAATTGAAAAAGTCATTTGGGCTGAAGAATTCAAAAGAATTTGAGTAGACATGATGGTACTGGGGATTCAAAAACATTCCGATATTTGGAATACCGAAAAATAGTG